TACAGGCAACTTCGCGGGGATCTCTTGCAAGTCTTCCGCATTGCTAAGGGGTTGGATTGCAGTCTGGCCTTCGAGGACTTTTTTGAATTTGCCACCACGACCAACCTCCGAGGACACCCGCTAAAACTGTGCACTCAGAAGGCAAGGCTGGATGTGCGGAAGTTCTCCTTCTCTGTTCGAGTGGTCAAACCATGAAATGCCCTTCCCGCAGATGTTGTGATGTCACCATCTATACAAAGTTGTAAAAAGAATTCTGACAAGAGCGACGAGAAGTAGAGCTCACCCCCTGTAACTCGTTCTCTTTTTGTCCTACCATTATTGGCGTGTTTGAGCTATTTCAGCCCAGAACATTTATCTGTATACCGCACATTTTTTTACGTTGCAAACAGGGTACTCAAAGGCTTACGCCTATTTCCCTCAATAAACTGAACTGAACTGAACTGAAGATAATTGCGCTTCTTCACCCTACCATTGTCGAGCCGAGTTACCCCGCCAATTGGCAAACGGCAAACCTGGGACACGTCGCGGTACGTTCGGTTGCGTATTTCGCCCGTTAACTAGGTCACTGACCATCCATTCGCTTGCGCCTCACCTCTCATGCAATACTAGACCTTCGACACGGGGACTTCAAGACTGCTCCGAATTGCGGTTTCAGACATTCTTGGAAGCATCATGCTCACGAAAACTCTAATTGTCTACTTGAAAGAAAAACCACTGATCTGCTAATGCTATTGTTCTGACCATCGAAGAATACCCGCATTCGTGGGACTTCGTCGAAACCTAAGTGAGCTAAAATGCAGTGGCTTCGATAAGCGCCTGCTACTGCGGACAGGGAGGAAGCGAGGCGAAAATTTAATTTCACGCGCCCTCGGGAGAGAGGAGTTCATTAAAGTTGGAAATTATACGTTTCCTGGTTAAGCAGTGGCACATTTTCGTAAGCATCTTAAGTACTCTTCCAAAATAGAAGTTGGTGTGGAAAAAACCGACTCCGGCATTTGTACTTGACGCTTCAGAGCGATGGTGAATAGTCACGAATGCAGTTTATTAGGTGTGAGCTCATGGGTCCACCAGTCGCACATTAGAATAAATCGATTTTAAGTCAAGTTTTTGGTGGTTATCAGCCTTTAAATAGAACGGGGTCGGCTGACGATGAGAAAGTAGTCTGAAACGACAATCCTACTAATTCCTGTCGTTCGCGGCGATAGTCAGCGATTGTTGTTTGTTTACCGCCATTTGATCACCCTTGAGGTGCTCAGATCCCCGATTCTCTTTTCGCCCTATGACCGAGCCCAATTGGAAACGACAACGTTCGGATCAAAGCGGGTATAGGCCCCTTGACAGAAAACAGCGCGTGCAGTGTGAAAAAATTGGATTAATTTGTCTGGCTAGAAGTATTTGCAATTCAATGCGACGCGATGTTTATGTGTCAATGGGTTGTCGACTGTAGACTGCTTAATGTTCTGCTGCGTACGCGGACTTCACAGTTGAATCTTACTCAACTAATGACCAACACCACACAGCCAGTACAGCCAATCACGAGCGGGGGAACTCCGTGAACAATTCTTGCCATCCATTTCCATTTCTCCGCCAGAGCCTTCATTCCTTCTTACTGCTCTTAAGACTGTCATCTGCCTCTAAATGAACATACATGCCTTGTATAGGGTTCTCCGTAGCAGCCGGTTTGTTTGAATCGGTTGCCGTGTCTGTTGGCACAGTCAGTCTCTGTCGGGAGACTTCCACATCGAAATTATCGGAAACGCTGCGCCTTTTTCGCTGTGATCTACTCACGGCAGACGCATAGTCCGACCTCATGAGATTTGTAATGTGCCTACCCAATGCACCGAAATTATATTATTTCCTTCCAACAGTTGCTTGCTAGCAGAAGGTAATGTTTAGAGTACAGATTCCATCCACCTAACTATGACCATTGTTAGTGCGACTTTGAAGTTTATCTGTTTACTAGAAATGGGATAGCCGAAAAAAGATTAGCAGGTTGGATGTCCAAGCGTAGAAACGAGTTCTATTACAATAGACCGTTAAGGTGGATCACCGGAAATGATCTCTGAGGGTCAGCTCAACAAGACGCCTCTCTACGTTCGTAGTTGGCTTGTTTTGTCATTAGCTCCTGGTGACTCGAATAGCATCCAACTCCACCCCCCTGTCAGATGGTTCATTTTAACTATCCCTCAAAAAACTAAACTGACATTCTGCTCAGGAGATATTCATTCGGAAACTCACTGGATGTGCTAACTGCCTCTCACATGCTTAGGTATGTCCTGGTTGACTCTGCCTCCCCCCATATAATCCCCCTTGTTCGTCCGACACCCCCAGTTACCTTGGTAGGTGACTGTAAGGTTGTCAGTCATGGGCTTCTCATGCGACGTTTCACGGATCCCCTTCAACTTCTCACTTTCTTTTTTAGACAACCCTAAGCTGCCTCGAATTCATCTACACATATTACTGGCATCCAGTACTACCCCAGATTGCGCTACTCAATGTGGAATTGGTGTCGCCTTTTTCGACTGCCTTTTTACCCATTTTAATGCATGACCTGACGCTTCGGAGAGAGGTTACAACCCCACCTTCGGAATAAAATTGGGTATGAAAAGGCTACGAGTAGCCATTTTCTTGAGTAACACGGATGACGCGATCATTAGACGAACCCTGCCTCCGATGACTTTCAGGAATCAATGGCCACCTGTCATCATCATTTTGAGACGTTAAAGGAGCTTTGCCTAGCGGGAGGCTTATTGGTTGTCCCGTATCAAGGGGTCGGCTGAATGGTGGTCCCGAACGTGCATGTTTGAGGTTGCAGGTATGGTCGGCTAAGGCAGCAGAAATAAGCCCTGGATGCTACCTCCGTCAACAATGCGCCAATTATGAGCGATTTTCGTGCAATAAACGATTAGCTTTAAAGTTGTGAAAATCTTCATAGCTATATTCAGAAGAAAAGGTGTCGAGCGAACGTTGCTTTCGGTAACTTCTCGTCAGGCCAATGCAGTTATATGGGACGGGGTACAATGAGTGGAAAAATCGATAAAGGTTAGGTTTTAAAATACATGCTAGGCAAGATCGGAGGGGCGCAAAAAGTTGCATGTGGTTAGTCAACCTTTGACCACTGTAAGCACGGAGCCTAAACGAGCTTCTTCTGGGCGCAAAGGGCCGGTTTTCGTAACTTGATGGCGGCTGCTTCTGTTGTTGCTAACAGGCGCCGGCCCAGTAGCTTAGGGTAGTTCGAGGAGACCTTATAAATCACACGAAATGCTTCATCGGGGTCCACACGATGCCTTGAATCCATTGCATGCGCAAGGCTGACGTTGTATATTCTCCTAGTTTCGACTTTTTGCCAGTCATGCGGGAAGGTGATCTCATATTCTTTTCGAAAGGCGCCGACTCGTACGACTAATATAACCTGCTCCACAGGAGCAAGTGAATAAGAAGATGCACATTGAGGCGGTTTGAGCTGGCAGCCTATCCTTGTCTTCTCCGCGTAAAATAGGGTTAGTAGAGAATGATATGCGAACCCTTGCTGCTGGGAAGGTTCCCGAGACAGCTTGGTCAAGGCGTCTTCTTAGGAGATTCCTTGCATCGTCTGCTTGGAAAGGGACTTTGAGGAACAACGGTTTCTTTTCGGCGGTCACTGTGGTGGGTTTTGCTGGTCGTTCGACAAGGGTAGCAACAGCAGAAGCAGTCGCCATCAGGTTAAGAAAACCGACCCTATGAGCCCAGAAGAACCTCGTTCAGGCTCCGCGCTTACCGTGCTCAAAGGTTGACTAACCACATACAACTTTCTACGCCCTTCCGCTCTTGCCTAGCTTGTATTTTAAAAACTAACTTATTGATTTTTCACTCAGTGTACTCCGTCCACATAAGCGTACTGGCCTGACGAGAAATTATCGAAAGCAACGTTCGCTCGCCACCTTTGCTTCTGAATATAACTTCGGGGATTTTCACAACTCTAAAATAATTACTTACAAAAGGAGCTGCGGGTAGTGCTTTTTTCCACCCCCTCCGGTTATTTATGTATTAATAAATAGACATAAAATGAACTTAGTCTTGATAAGCGCGTCTCCGATATTTGCGTACAAGTTCCTAATCGAAGACGCCGTGGGCAGCGAAAAAAGAGCAGTACTAGTGGATTTGCAGAACGTAGTATTCCAATCAGAGAAATCGCAGGCTGATACAAGAATGATGTCCGTGTTTCCTGAACGCCACTCAAGACTCTAGCCTTACTACATGGAAGCTTCCTTGTTAAGTTAGAAGGAACTGCAGGGATCAACCCATCGTGTTAGACGTCTTTAGAGAAACCGAGAATATCGCGCTATTAGTCCGTTTTTATCCCTCATACTCCATTCCATAATTCCTGCACGTGGGGTTACGAGTGCTCAAACTTTCACTGTGGTCAGATCGTCCGTTCCACGTCCCTCTCTGCAAGTTGCACGCGAGTCACAACACACGTTCGACCAGCACAAAAAAGTAAAAGGACAGATGCGCAATAATATGACCCAAGAGTTAATAAGACTTCTAGTTCAGCCATTGATAGAAATAGGCCAAAAGTATGCCATAAATGCGTTTTCTTGTATTTCCGCCGAACTTAAAGATAAGGCCTTAAGTGCCGATCGGTGAACCTTATTGTCTGACGTCCGACCGCTATAGGCAATTCTGGCTCGGGATACACCGGATGGCTCTACCGCTCTATCTATATTTGACTTTTATAGTAGTTTGCTGAAGAGAGAGAGAGAGAGAGTCAGGAGGCTGATCGCAGTTCGAGCATAGTTCCAGCGGTCTCGCACGAGTTTCTTCCCTTTGATTTGCCGTATTACGCATCGATGATGTTTATGTCGTGTTTATTCGGCCAACCCAACCAATCGGACGCCAGATTTGTGCCAACTACCACGCAATTGGCTGTCATCCCGAGTGCGCTGATTGGTGTTCTGCTTGCGGAAAGTCCTACAGCTGTATCTCCGCGTGCTGTCGCACTTCGCGGCGTGGCGTGGGGCATGCTGGTGCTGACGCCGTTTTCGTGCGTGCGCTTTGTGCTCTCCTTTCTGTCCGTCTGCCTCTGTTCGACCGTCTCTGCGCAAAATGAGGAAGGCATTGGTGGACTTCCAACAAATTCTGACTATCTCGAAGTCCGTAAGCGCGTGGATCAAATGACCGAGACCAACTCCACGCATTTTAGCACTTCCTTCAGCACAGCAGAACTGAATATTTCTTTCTCCTGTGAAGTTGAACATTTTCAGCTGATTGAATATTCCGACGAGTCAACGGCCACCTGCTACATCTCCTATTCATCAAAATCAGCCCGTCTTCTCACCTATGCAGTCGATCGTCCGGTCTCACTGAGTCTCCCACCGCAGACCTGGCCTGTACTCTCTGCAAGTTCCGGTGCTGTCGTGGATTTCTCCATTAAACTCAAACCTGAGCAACTTGGACTGGCATATGTTCTCATCTACGTGAATCCGTTTAACTCCACAGTAACCGACGAGTCTCAACTTGTATCCGGCTTCAGGGTTGTTATTCTGCGAAAATCTGGCCTTGTCGACCGCATATTTCGTATTGGGCTAATAATCCTACTATTTGTCGTCACATTCCTGATGGGCTGTGATTTAGACATAGTTATCCTGCGCGAGCATCTTAGGAAGCCGATTGGACCGGTGATTGGATTCTTGTGTCAATTCATACTGATGCCTGGGGTGAGTTTATTTTTGAAGGCAGCACCTTCTCCTTTTTTATCCCAGCAGTGAAGATGGCTTTTCTATGCGAGCTGAGGTTTGTAGCTTATTGTTTCGGTCCACTTGATTTTTTTTCTCGATAGCTGAATCACAAGTCCCTTGGAAAAGTAGTTTTCGATCCATGTTTTACCGTCTAACTAGAGTGTGTTACCGCGCGCATAACTTGTTTTTGCTAGCCAATGCCCGAAGTCCCTTCGGCAGGTGTGCTCCGCAGTTTGTTCTGATTCATAGATCAACTTACCTCCACTTTAAAAGCATTTGACCTTAGTGCGCATTGTTTTATGCCAGAAGTTGAATTGTCCTAGGTTTTTTCTCCAGGGCTCAGAAGTCAACTACATTTGTTTTCAAAAGGCCCCATCCTGGATCGGCCCGTTACTTGAAAAGCCAACCGAGTTTTCCGGACTGCATAGACACTCATTTCTTTCTTGCTTTTTAATTTCCCCAAAGGTTAACTACGAACCTGGAGTAGGTGAGTATATTCTAGGATCCATAGGCGCAGACCGAAATTGGATATGAATCCTTGGACCGAAGTCCATCAACCACAGCGGGATGACCGCGTAATACTCATTAACTGCCGTCAGGTAGCTAGTAGTATATTTTGCGCTTGCGGGATACCATTCTAGCAGCACATGTACTCGCTAAAATCCCAGACACGCGTGTTTCGCCGATATTCTGCCGCTACATGGCTCATTTTTTTCCGAACTCAGCCTCATCAATAAGCTACTGCGAGTTCTGTAAGTGCAGATCTCTCTCCCTGAGCGACTGACTACCCTGCCACAAAAGTTGACACGTGATATCCGCTCAAAAAACATTCCCTCAGTCTGTGGGAAAGTAACACTCAGCCAACATAAGTTCCGCGTGAGAAAGGTTTCCTAGTGGCCGCATCTCGCTGTCAACGCTGTCATCGGACGGCGTAACCATTACTAGATCCATACGCTGATGCAGCGGGGAAGAGTTGTGGGGAAATCTTCCATTTTGAGGGAAAGTCGCCAAAACCGTCGACCCTTGCATTGTTCAGATTGGGAAGAGCCAATTTATTCGTCGTTTAGACGTGAGGTTTATCTGGTGCTCGACCCTCGTCGTGGATTTACCGATATTGACTCGAGTAAAACCTGTATGTTGTAAAGTTTCACTGAAGGTTTTTCGATCGGAAAATCTCACGCGTGATCGTTGAAGTGAGTTTTTACAGCAGTTTTTGCTCTGTATGTACTGGGTTGGTTCGTCTCCGAAATAGAGTGACCTGAACATTGCCAATAGAAGCGGAGAGATGAGTCCCAGGAAGTAGTCTTGAAGAAGGAGACATGATCGCTGGGACAAGAGTTTTATTAGCCTGACGTTTCGGATTCCTGCTCGAACCCATCATCAGAGACAAAAGCAGGTACGGGGGCTTCATGCACAAGGGGCTGCAGTATTTATAGGATGCAGTCGCCATGCTACCGCATACCTATGAACAATCACGGCTCCCCGCATCATCCGGGATCGTTACACTTGGTGTGCTAATTGTTTGATGGTCGACATTTGCGTTCAATGCTGGTGTGATGATTGCTCGACCATCTGACGCACCGATCCTGGTGTTGGGAAAAGTGTTCACATGTGCGCTACCCGCATGCCTGATTACTCCGCCTAGGCGAAGTCTCAGCACCGACTATTGTAGGGGAAGTTCATTGCACTTGTTAATTGACTGTGGGCCAGTAAGTCATGATACAAGTAGCTTCCGGCTCACGCGGTTGCCACCTCTTGCGAGAATTTCGGCCTCGTCGAATTTGATTGCGTGGCCGGATCTCGTCGAATGAGCCGCAACTTGAGAGCTGGCGTCATTTCTCCGCACCGCTGCAGCGTGTTCGGCCATTCGCGATCGGAGCTGTTTTCCGGTTTCTCCGACGTAGTTGATTTGTCCGCAACTGCACCAGATCCGAGAAACGACTGCAGACGTTTCTTGTCGTGGCAGTGGGTCTTTCGGTTTCATTACCAAAGGCCTTATGGTTGCCTTCGGTCTGTGTGCAACTCCAACCCCAGGTTGTGTGAGAAGGCGGCCGGCAGCTTCCGAAACGTTTTTGACATACGAAAGTGCCCGCCAAGATTTGGTGTCCGTGCCGTTAGGCGTTTCGTCCCTTTTGCGTATGCACCGGTTGACAAAGTTGCGCGGGTAGCCATTGGCGTTGAATACCCGTCGTAGGTATTGTAGTTCGGCAATCTCGTCTTCCGGCTCACCGCAGTGTTAACAAGCTGATTCCCACGAGTTGCATCGGACAAAAGATTAATTTCCGAGTGCGGCGAGCTCCGTCTAGTGAGACCCTCGAGATTAAATCACTCTCATGTCAAAGAAAAGCACGCTCATATGCTCAGTCGAAGTTTAGGACAGGTATTAGCATAGGGAATTGCCTGAATATACACGGCAACGTCAATTCCCGTTCAAATTCAAAAGCATTTTGCTTGTTACTTTTACGTTGACACATTGCGCAATGTTTAAGATGTCCGACAGTTCTTACATCAGTTTCTAGAGATAGGTCACGTTCACGTCCTTGTTGTGCCCCTCGTCGTGGATGTACCGATATTGACTCAAGTAAAACCTGTATGTCGTAAAGTTTCACTGAAGGTTTTTCGATCGGAAAATCTCACGCGTGATCGTTGAAGTGAGCTTTTACAGCAGTTTGTGCTTTGTATGTACTGGGTTGGTTCGTCTCCGGAGGCAGTAGGTGCGAGGGAGAAGTTAAAGTTTCTTGATCGTGAAGCAATAGTTCCCCGGGATGAAGTGGAAGCAGGCAAAACAGCAAAATTTATTGGAACCAATACATTTCGCAACGGCTTATCAACTGTGGTCTGTCGTTGCATAACAGAGATACCAAAAAAGAAAGATACGGAGATTTAAACTCCCACAGACAAAGTCGATTTAAAGCGGCAACATCATCGTATACTGCACGCAGGCTAATCAATAAAATAGTAACTTCAAAACGCAACATAGGGAAGAAAACGGGAAAGTTAATACGCAGAGGGATTGCGCAAATCAAAGGGGCCAGATTTACCAGGACAAGCTTAGGTTGACCACGTGTATAGGTCGGGTTTCTCCCGCCGTATGAAGGGTGCCTCCAAATAGCTCACTATCCGAGTTTTTTACTGCCCGAACTAACACTCGAAAAGACGCTTTAGGGTCAACAGAATGACCACATTCTAGGAGGCGCCTTATGATAGAACACCATGGTGTTTTATTCTCCCGCTTTAGAAACCATTTAGGCAGGCGCTCAACTGACCTGGCTGTCAATTGCCTGTGCGTTGCCCCGCAAGTGCATGTGAATTCGTAAGCACGATTTGACGTCCCAGTTCCAGAGGCAAGGCATCCTTTGCTCGTGGAACTGGGACTGCTGAATATGAGTTCGGCTGCTTTGTATGTTCTTTCAATGGCGCATCTCAATCGCCGCTTAATGGTATTTGCGATTTCACCCTTAAAGCGTAAGGATATTACAAGGGGCTTTTTCGGAACTGATTAGGTCGTAAGGTGTTACTGCACTTTTGGGTGAAACGTGTTGAATGTCCAGGTTTTAGCAGGGCTGCTATGATGCAAGAAGTCCCAGCATCCCGAAGTGTGCAACACGTGGGACTTGAGCCCGCGACCTGTTGGTTAGAAGTCCATCGTCCCTGACCACTGGGCCACGGGCTCGTTGTAAGTAAGGCTACATCTTAAGTAATGTGTGGGAGGCGGGATTGGATAAGTGAAAGCACAATGAAGTCAAAGGTCAGTTTGGCGAACTGTCGTAAAGCGTTACAAACAAAAATATTCCACCAGTCCCTCTCGACGATGCTGATTCCAGTAATTCAAGTCACGTCTGTAGAACAAGTTCGCTTAGCAGCAGACATGTTGTGACCGCTTTTTTTCTAAAAGAATCCCTGATGACTCCTTTTTAACTGCTGCGTGGGATTGTGTACGCCAAGCTGCGAAAACAGTCTCATTCAATTTTTCTTTTGACAGTCACACGGCAGCCCGCATTTGCCTGTAGATTACGACGACCTTGACTACTGTTGCGGATTGGGTAGTCCGAGAAACGCGCGCGTCGAGACGAAACTTACCACGAGGGGGTTGCGTGTTGTGACACGCTGGGAGAACGATTCCCTGCACCATCTGGCTCGAACTCACCAGCATAGGAGCGTGAACCGCCAGGATTATGTCGGACGAGGAGTATGGTCCTAACGCGTGACCGGGGACACTTGTCGCATTGAACTAGCGGAGACTCGTGCCAAGTTAATAACTGACCCATCGGAGAGATGGCTGCCGACCCGCGCCTGAAGACACACCACATCTGCGTGTTTACTCATGTGCCGAGGGTCTACTTGTTTCAAGGCTGACCACCACCGAAGGCCATTCGACCATTCGTCAACTGGGCAGGACTGTACTTCTGAAAGCTGTTTTCTTCATGGTAAGGGACAGAGTGCATCACTACATCCACTATCCAATCTAGTGACGTGAGACGGTTAGGAAGGGTAACAATGTCATGCTTATGTACGCCATCTCGAAAACGCGTACTTCTGAGTAAAGATCCATGTCCCCAAAACGGCATAAAATGATTGGGGGGGGGCTGCCATCTTGTGAAATAGATCGATTTTCCGTCCTGAGGGCCAGGCTGAAACGGACACCGTTTAGTGTGATGTCATGGCGATTACTGACACTCGCCAGAGCAGTGAGTCGAGCCCGGTTGCCAGTTGAACGCCGGCGTGCGAGTGGCACGTTTAGACGGGAGGTTAGGTCCAGTCAGCCACCGTCCCCGATCACGTCTTTAGTTAGCGTAACTATAACTTATTATGGCAAATGTTGGTGAGATGTGGTTATGTAGCCCCACATAAAGTAAATAAACCCCAGCCGCCTGTAATACGGGACCGATGATAATTGGGGATTTTGCAGGTGAGGTCGGGAAAGGCACAGTTGACGAGTCCAAGCAGTTGTATGCAAAAGAAAAGCTACTGTGAATGCGTGGGTGTACTTTGAGTGGTTGAGAAATAGTTGCCCTAACCACATCTTTCCCAAATGTTGGTTGAGGGATGACTCGGGCTCCTCCCAGGCGGTAACGCGGCCCTCGCAACAACTCGCCTCAGTCGAAGATCCGAAGTCATTTTATTTGACTTGATGGATAGCTTCGATGCTGACTCACCCGTACTCGATGCAGCTACGAAAGCGCCTGACCCGGTCGGTCTCGATTTCTGGGGACCATCTGCGACGAAGCACCTCGATAGCCCGACCCATTCTCTCCTCCGGTGAGAGCGACAGAGTGTAGGAGATCCACAAACCACCTCCACGTCACGGTGACCTGTGTTGAACTAGGTTTTGAGCTGACCACCTCGACGCGCCCAAGTGGAGAAGGACGTCAGATCGCGAATAGCAACACCAGGCTCGTGCGGCAAACGACAAACACGCCCAAACCACCTCAGTCGCCTTAATTAAATGACTAGAAATGCCCCGCAACGTTGTCACAGCGAGCGCGGACTGTCTCACCTGAGACGGGGTCAGTGCACTTCACTTGCAGAATGATTCTTAAGAAGTGGTGGTAAAGTACCTCCAGTCTTTCATGCACACAGCCCAATGTTCACAACCGTACAGGAATGGCGGTACACGCGACCTTCGTGGGCGATCGAGACGTCACTCTAGTTCTTCCCAAGGCATGCACACCCCGCGAGGAGCATCTATCTTGGAGACGACGTCGTCCTTACCCCACCCATCGATAGTAGTCTCACCCGTGGAACTTGAAACTGTCTACCTGTTCAAATTGAGTATTTCACTAATCTCCTGGGATGCAGCCCAAAAGCAGGTCGGTCTCCCCACCAGCTGGCGAGCCCAATGCTTTGAGCAGTATCCTGAGGAATTCTCAGCAATCCACCGCGTCTGGGGTATGAAACGCTGATTGGCTAACAGCCGAGGTTGAAGTGACCCCGCCTGATGGACCGCAAACGGCCATTCCAATATCAGCGGTCTTTGTCCGGACTGGTCTGTGACGATGCTCATTGACGAAGGCCGTTTCGAGTACCAAGTAGGTTGTCAGGTGTCGAATTTATGCACGTTGTGAGGGTCCCGTTTCAGCAAGCTCTATGTAACGCAGACGGAGGTACGGATGACAAGAGGGAAAATCGCGGGCTGACACACTCCGGCGCCATCACGGACCTGGCTCACATACAAGGCCTGACTGTACGTAAACAGGTGCTTTCAGCCGCATCAAGAACTCCGGGTGTGTGTGTGTGTGGCGCAGTTAGGTAGAGCCCAGTCCGAATCATGTGGAAGGCGAGTTACGAGCGTCAATCATGACCGTTAAACGCACAAGGTTGGACTGTCAATTCGAGTTGGAAGGGCAGATCACGTACAGACAGTACCGCAAACACTTACAGCTAACATTCTCATCAGGCAAATGTCAGAGGAAAATATATGCGTTGACTACAGCCAATCGAAATATCGATCGGCTTCAAAGGCGAGAAGTTGAGCAAAGTGTGTTCCTGTGCGTCTTATTGATGCTGGTGTCAACGCCATAGAGGTATTTAATCACGATCTCTATGCTGTTGCCAGACCTATCTGAATGAGTAGTCTGGTTTGAAAACCAAGACGTGAAAGTGTGAGTCGTCTTCGAGGTGAGGCCCTGGAAACTGCGCAGGTGCTGAAGTGCTCGTTACTATCCAAGTTACAAATATTGGACGCGGACACGTTAGTCCGCATCTAAGGGAATGGTCCTCGTGCATTTTCCGTTTTGCTCGTGCTCTCCGGGTGTCCTGCCTCAGGTATTCACGCGTTGGAAGATATACTCCACGACGCCATCGAGGCCGCCTAAATGAGTCATGATCATAGCCGCATCAAGTTCTCACTAGGACTGTGGCTGGGGTCTGCGAACGGGAAGGGAGCGTAAGATGGACGTCTCAGCGCATTTTCCTCACTATAAACAGTCTGACGCGCTTGAAGCTATCACGGTGCCCTAAAAACCTTGGTTTGGAAGGTCGCCAACTTAGGGGATAATTTGGACCTCTCATTCAGCCTAGTGTGTGTTTGTGTGGACTGGGGGACTGAGAGTCAGTCGGGAATGGCTCCTTCTTATCGTGACCTTTATGGCACGCCTACTCCGTGAGATCTGAGTCGCCCCCTTCCTCTTTTCCTATAAAATCGTGGTCTGTGTGCGTTGTGGGCCAGGCGGTATGGTGGTCCACATAGGTGCGAGTTTACGCCGTACCAGAAACCTGCCTCCTCTCCCGCCTCCGATCCCCACTCTGTTTTGGCACCCGATTCAAGAGGAGCGGAGGGTGCGATAGGTGCAGTGAAAGTCCACCTTCACTTTTCTTCACTCCCATGTCGCCGTCCTGGCTATCGCCCCCTACTGTGGGGCACACGGTGGACATCGTCGGCAACGACGGTCGGACCGTCACCGAGTTCTCATGGGATGGACTAGAATGCACCACTTGTCCGAACCGTTGAGCCATCTCAGGGCTATATTTTTGCGCGATGGGCTGGGCAGAAATCGGCACCGAGTGCGGTTCAAACTATGTTTTGCCAAGGGGACACGACTAATGATCACGTCTTCGCGTCAACGCCCACAAGCAGGCGTCGACGGTGTTTGCCACCCAACTTAGCGCCTCGTTATCATGTGCGTACAATGCAGCTCCACGGGTCACCCAGTCGCCCTCTCATGTTCGCAGGATAATGAGTCTCGCGAACGCACAACACACGGCAAATTACGCCCTCCCCAACAGATGCCTTGTCTTCCGATCCACCAGCAAATTGCCCCGGACTCATTTGCTCTTTCACACATCGTCCTCTGACCTCTGTTATTAGTTGGGCCGGAGTTTGTTGCGAGTAGATAATGAGATATCCTTGGGCCGAACAACACCGAACGTGTTCTGCTTGGCACGCCCGTGACAAATTCTTCAAAACAACCTCGAACGCGTTTCAGGCAGTAGAAATATGTCAAGGCTAGGCCGTCATGCGGCCTGGATGACGTTTAGCCGGTTTAATCAACTGTAGATGCAAGCAAAATAATTTACCGCATTGGCAACAAACAAGCATCATGCGGAGAAATGGGGCCTCGTAGCTCCGGTGGTTTAGAACGTTGGCTGTACTCAGGCTTTACCCTCGCTCGCCTGGGTTCGAATCCCACAAGGGCCGCCGAGTTCTTCACAATCAGGTCAAATGAATGAAATGAGATACAATTGCAGGCCAGTGTATGTCCGATGACTGGCGGGACTCTTCTGCGGTTGCATAAACACCCCACATGTCTATGTTTCCACATAATGCCTTATTTTTAGATCTGCGGAATGTTGGTGCTTGTCAGACCGCGGGAGGTCGCTGCGCCGACTCCCTGCCACAAGCCAATCATCAAGCATTCCTAGACGACAGTGATTGCCGCAGCGACCATGGTGCCTCCAGGGCTACGCCAGTAACAAATAACACTGACGTACAGTAGGTGGGCTAAATCATGAAATTTCAACCGAAATTCTGAAATGCATTTTTGCCTCCAAAAGATTACTTCAGAAGCGTTGTAAAATTGATCATCGTGCAGCATGATTCTATAATAATTCAGTTACCTCGGGATGCCGGCTTTCGAACGAGTTTCTGTCCGGCCACATGCGAAAACCACACTGTAAAAAATGACTACTTAAGTAGGCATGAATGTTTCTCATTTATTTTCGATGCCCTTAAAAATTCAGTTGTACTTCACGAGAGGCATGCATAAAAATAGTCATTTTCCTGCTCATGCGGTAGAAAATTGCGCCTTTTTTTAATTTTATGCTCAAAGAAAGGGTATAATTCGGTTTTCAACAACTTTTCCAATTCCCGAATAATTTTCAACCCCAACCTGCCGTTGCACTTGCGTTCAGAGTTTCCAAACTACAAGCCGTATGTTTGCCGTATAAGGAAAATCGTGTATTTCTATGCTCTTTTAAGACAAAAGTATATGGTATTCATAAAATTTGACAGTAGATTTGGACCTTATTGTAAACCTTACAAGCCACATTAGTAAATGCAGAGAAACGATGTTTTATGAACAGGCATTTCACGCTATTAAAAAATCTCATGATTAGAAACTTTTTCAAAATCGAATTATATCTTTTCTTTGAGTATAAAATATAAAAAAGGTAATTTTCCACTGAATGAGTAAAAAATGAATATGTTTATGCATGATATCCGTGAAATATGATTGAATTTGTAAGGGCATTGAAAATCAATGGGAAAATACATGCTTTATAAGTAGTCATTTTTACAGTGTGGTTTTTGCCTGAAGCCGAGAAGAAGTTCGTTCGAAAGCCGGCATCCCGGCGTAACTGAATTATTATAGAATCATGCTGCACGATGATTAATTTTACAATGCTTCTTAAGTAATCTTTTCGAAGCGAAAACGCATTTCAGAATTTCGGTTGACATTTCACGAGTTAGCTCACCTAATGTACTTACCTTTAACAGAACTTGTAAGCCGGAACTGCCGAACTGCAAACTAGTGAGCGATCAGACAACCCGCCTAGTTGCGAGAAGTTCACGTGCTGATAACGCGTCTGATACCTTTACAATTCAGGTATGGTAGGTGGGCCAACTCATGAAATGTCAACCGAAATTCCGGAATGCGTTTTCGTTTCGAAAAGATTAATTAAGTAGGGTTGTAAAGCTAGTCAGCCTGCAACATAATTCTATAATATTTCAATTACCTTTAGGATGTTGGCTTTCGAATGAACTTCCTTCCGACCGCCTGCAAAACCTACACTCTGTAAAAAATAACTACTTAAATAGCATGTATTTTTCTCATTGACTTTCGATGCCCCTAAAAGTCCAATAATATTTCATGCAAAACATGCATAAAAATATTCATCCATTTGCTCATTCGGTAGACAATAATTTCTTCTTCTAATTTCACACTCGAAGGAGAGACATTATTCGGTTTTAAATTTCTTTTTCCAATTCCCGAATAATTTTGAACTTGCTCTGCCGTCACATTTGGCTTCAGGGTTTCCAAACTACAAGTCGTATATTTTGCGTAAACGGAAAACCATGCATTTCTCCACGGTATTAAGAGGAGAGCATACAGGGTCCATAAAATTAGGCAGTGGACTTGATCCACATTGTTAACTTTACAAGCCACAGTGGTGAATTCAGACACATGACGATTTATAAACGGTGTTTAAAAGTCCCGCTATTGGAAACTTTTTGAAAACCGAATTATGTCCCTCCTTCGAGTACCAAGTTGGAAGAAAACGTAATTTTCGCATGATAATCAATATTGTAACCGTTCCTGAGTAATCCTTCCTAATCGAAAGCGCATTTCGGAACTTCGGTCAACATTTCATGAGATCGATCACTCACTGTATCTCTTGAACGAATATTCCATCATAGGAGTCCTGCCTCTCTTTACGCTTCCATGCTCTATTCATCTTTCAGATTGCCTACGCACTGGCAAAACTAACTCCAATAAGTCCGGAGTTTGCGTTCGGTCTCTTCATCGCCGGTTGTGCGCCGGGTGGTGGCGCGTCAAACGTGTGGACACGACTTCTGGGCGGCGATCTCGATCTGAGCATCACCATGACGCTGATCAGCTCTCTGGCTGCCCTGGGTATGTTTACTTAAATCGCCCCCCCCCCGACACCCGAGAGCGCTTACTGATGACTTGCCTTGAATAAACCCAAAATAGGATTACTGTTTTAACAGACTTGACAACTACTACTCAAACTCGCGTCCTCTGCAATACTTCCTGTGTATCACACTAACCGCGCCCTGGCTTTAACGGGGAATTCGATCGCTTGGTCTGTGTAGTCACCAACCCTCCTGCAATAAATTTATGGGCTGGGGGCAAGAGATATCAACCAATCGGCTGAGGTCCTTTGTGCTTGTGAGAAGTATTTGCAAAATGCACGTTAAGTACTCGCGTTTTCTTCATAATCTTGCCTCCTAAAGACTAGATTGTGCAGTATCACCCCGGTAAACAGTCAACGAACCAGCTGTACTGTAGGATATGTTTGGTTTTACTCACGCTGTCTTTGCTTACAGTAGCTGGCCCATTTCATAAAATGTTAACTGAAATCCTGAAATGCCTTTTTGCGATTAGAAATGTTTACTTTTATGGGGTTATGATAATTCGGCTGTCGTTGCTGAGGATGTCCACTGCAGGGTGAAGCAGGCACGGTGTGGACTTGCGAAGCATCTGCCGCACTCACTCCTCCCCAACCTGGACACGAAGACCGTAGGCGGGGGGGAGGGTAGGCGCAGGCGACTCGCACGACCGAACTCCCACTCAGGCGTACCGCAACATCCCGTGGTCCACAGCAAACTCTTGACCAGGATTTTGATCCACAGCAAAGACACCCCAACAGGGGTCAGAAGGACGAGGATGATTGGGCAGCCATGCTCACGATCCGTACATCCAGCGGGAACACAAGCGCATCTATCGGCAGGGAACCGAGTGTTAGAGAACTGTCAGCACAAATCAGACTGCGGGGGCCATGGTTTGCGATCCTGACATAGCAGACGCTTGCAGACCTTTGGGCCCAGAAGGGTGACACGTGACCCTGCTTCTGCCTGGGTCATCACCCTTCAATGGCTGGGTAACCAAACCGTCGTCTACAGAGAGGCACTACCCTTAAAGCACACACACACAAACACACTCCACACTTACGTGAGAGTGCCAGAGGTCGCCTCAAGAAAGAGCCCACCAGTTCGCTACTCCACACAAACGTACTCAACTAGGCAGACTGCATGAACTGAGGTGAGGCTTCACCGGGCAGCCTTCCAAGCCACGGCGCGTGGCCCATCGTGATAGTCTCAGACTCTAATCCCACATGCAACAGAGGAGCCGCATGGTGAAGGAGTGGAGATATTTCGATTAGAGAGGGTTACTCATATGTGCTCAGATATTTCAGTCGCGGCGGGTTATCGGCGTTTGAATAAGTTTCTCTCCACAAATCTTCCCAATTGATTTTCAATGCCTCCATAAGTTTAAATACATTTTGTGGAAAAAAAATGCACCACAATTTTCTTTATCTACTAATTTGGTAGGACGTTGCACCTTCCTTAAATTCGTGCTTTTACATTCTTGAGAGCTTACAGTTATAAGCTTTTTATGACCGTGAAATTTCCATTTGTAAAGCATACGTTTATTAATGCTGCTTATGAAATACGCAAAATGGTCCATATCCATTGGTATATTTGTGGTTCCTATATGATGTCTTCCTAATAGTACAGGGAAATGTGTGATTTTCCTTACGCAGAAAGTATACAGCCTGTAGTTTGGAAATCCTGAATGCAAATGTAGCAGAAGGTCGGACTCAGGATATTTTGGAATACAATTTTAAATCCAAATATTAATTTTCTTGAAGTGTAAAATTTGAAGACGTAATGTTCTGCCCAATGAGTATGCAAAAGATCATGCATATTTTCCACAAAGTATGCTTTAGCTTTAATTGGTCTCGAAACGGAATTCGAAAAATTCATGCTAACTTTGTGACTATTTTAAACCGAGTGTGCCTTTGCAGGTGGCGGCAATGGAGTTCATTAAAAATTCTACAATCTGAGGTGAATGAAATCTCTTAGAATTATCCTGTACGATAATTATAACCCTAGATAATGGAAAACACATTTCAAGTCCTCGGTTATCATTTCAAGAGATAAACCAATTACTGCACCTCCGAACTCGCATGTCCCTTTGAACGCATCATGCGAAAAGCTAGTTGATCATTCTTTTCAGAAATCTAAAAGAAATCCAAATTCTCTTGGTCACAGCTTTATCGCTCCTTCCACTAACAACTAGATCAATCTTCGTTAAGTGAACAAACAAATCCGACGTCTAGCCCTCCTTTATGCGGCACGTTTACTAAAGGTCCACAGATCGGTCCTTCAGAGTTATTAGGTACACGTCAAAAGTCTGCATCATTCGGCTCGCGTGAAGTGTCCTGGCGGTCTTTTATTTCATTTCCGTGCGCAATTTAGAGCTTTGACTTTCATTCCCTTTCTCTCTCTCTCAGGAATGATCCCGTTGCTTCTCCTCGCCCTCGGTAATTTTATCAAACCTCTCAGCGTGGGTAGCCTACCCTACGGCATGATCACTCTTCAAATCCTCTTCGTCTTCCTGCCTGTTGCCGGAGGCCTGCTAATGCGCCGATTCTTCCCTTCATTCGCGGACAAATTGCGTCCAGCGGTGCGACCCACAGCCCTCATCTTCCTCCTCTATGTCCTGATCTTTGGTTCCGTCGCCTACTTGCCCGTTTACCGGCTCATGGCCCGGTACCCCCTTTTGGTGGCCGTCGGAGCCGCCTTGCCGTTCACGGGATACCTCCTGGGATTCATGTTCTCTCGACTGCTTTGTCGCCCCTGGCCCGTGGTCACGGCTATCGCTATAGAGACGGGCGTCCAGAATAGTGGCATCGCCATACTCATCCTCATCAATGCAATGCCTCAACCCGAGGGCGATATGGGCGCCATTATGCCGATAATTATCGCTCTAATGACTCCCCTGCCCCTGCTATGCGTCTTCCTAGTCCGTTCCGTGATAAAATTGGTGAAACGGAAGAAGGAGAAGGTGTCTTCCACTGTGTCAGATGATCTTGATGTGATTTAAATGAGATGAAGGTGCTCGGACCTTACGCCTTTGTCAGATTTATGTTTTCTTTTCATATTTCCAGTTTTTCACTTCCTGTTGCGCTTATTTTCAGT